TTACCCCTTTCCTAACTGTTCCCACTTGGCTCTGAATGAGTCTTGACATTTTTTAAGCCTAAAGTGACTCAATCTGTGACACTGCTAACTCAATTCTGAGTTTCAGATAAAATTTGCCAATCAAATACAAAGCAACGAGTTTTTTTTTGGTATTATTCAGCCTTTTTTCTTACAGAAATGATAATAGGGATTCAAAACTGCACCTCGTGACAATTCACTAACTCAGTTGGTGATTAAGAGTTGAATGTACAAGACTTTTACTCTATTAGGCAGCACCTAAGCTATCAAATTAGAAAAGTCTAGTGTCATCTAGTTGCTTTTCCAGGAATCATGTTTAGTAAAGTTCCTGTCCCGTTCCCAATCTTGAATGACTTCGCTTGACTTATTTGCTAGTTGGGCTAGGCACTGCCCATTCACCGCATTTCTAGCTATAGCAATGTCCCTGCTTATTCCATGGAAATCTTTTTTTATTTTTATCAGCAGCTGAAAAAAAAGTAATGAAATGCCATACAAATGGTTTGTTCAGCAAAGTTACCAAATTCAAAAGAAATAATCTTTTTTACTTTTATCATTCAAGTTAATGTCGGTAGTGCATTTTACTTTGAACTATTGAATCTGATCCTAATATAGGGTTCCAACAGCCATTGCAATCGTATATTGGAAACATTTTTCCTTATGCTTTATGGCAAAATATTCTTGATCTGTTGTTACAATAGCTGTTGGGACCGGATCCAAACTTTTCATAGTTGGACTTACATTTTCCAATTCACAACTCATGTCTCAGATTTTACCAATTTGCTTTTTTTTTTTTGAGCAGTGAGGAATTTCTGATATTCTCTTCAATAGAAGGCTACAAGCTGCTTTGGACTTGCTAGTTACCATCCAGTATCAACATTACTTTGGACCGAATATAATAATAAAACCATACTTAATAGTGTGGTGTGTGTCCAACCATTAATTTTCATATAATTATTATTAATGTAAGAGAATTTGTAGAATATACTTGGTTAGGTTTCAAAATTACAGTGGATATTTTACGGAATTTACATTGTCTGTTCCCTTGGTACAAAAAAAATTCTGTACCAGACCAATACCAATCTGCCACACGAGCCTGTTTTCCCATTTCAAAATTATAAGTTATATTTTAAAATGGAATGGTAGATTGCTAGTGGTTTGATACAGAAAATTTTCTATACAAAGGAGGCAGAAAATGTGAACTCTACTTTAGGTGGGGGGGGGGGGGGTATGCCAAGGTTCAAACAAAAACAGGATCATATATAATGACAAACACTCCTTAGTGAGTCAACAACATTTGTCTCAATTTCATTTTAATGTGCATTCTATGCAGATTGTTGTAATATGGGTGACGTGGCCATGTTTTGAACTAGCAGTAGACTCTTAGGCTCAGTTAGGAAGGAGTATAAATACAAATATATAGAGGGCAAAACCTTGTATTTTGTATGTATTTATACTGTATATATTTATATTTATACTCTTTCCAAACTGAGCCTTACTAACAAGATAATCGATATTTTTAATGAATCTTCAGATGAAATATAATATCATAAAAATGCATATATACATGTATGCATACATGCATATATACATAAGAGGCAATTGTTATTGTTGGGTGTGGGTCCAGCCCATATGAGGGGCCCATTCCACCTTTATTTGCTCCCAAAAGGAGTCGAATAGTGAAAGAAAAAGGCTTTCACCTTTTCAGTTTTTTTGGGCATCATGTTCGTAACCACCCGAACTAAGAAAAACAGAAAACAAAACATACAGAACCGAGGGTTTTTCTGGTTCTGAGTTTTGTGAAGAGAAGAAAAGCTGGTTCTTATTCCATTCAAGATCAAGTTTGGAGGTGTCTTTCAAGCCCATTCTTGATGATATTAAGTGTTGGAGTTAAGAATCCCATTCCAGTTCAAATTTGGTGATTTTTCTTTTTTATGCTTCTCAGTTCAGATTTACATCAACTTGGTGAGCCAAGGATTATTTCCTTGATGTTTGTAAGCCTCTAGTTGCAACTAGAGAAGACTATTGTACCCATTAATTTCTGAATTAGTGGAAGACTTTTACGGACCATAGGTCCTGTGGTTTTTTCCCCGATTTTGAGGTTTTTCACGTAAAAATTCTGATGTACTATTATGTGGTGATTGTAATCTGTTTTTTTGTTACTTGGCTGAATTATTTACTTRTTATCATTGTTGTTGGCATACCCATTTTCACACACAAACTTAATGGAAAAACTTTTGCTGTCCTAAAATTGCTTTTATACTCATCTATTCTACTATAGTGTAACTTACCCACCAGTTATATAGTTAGATATTATTATTATGACGCTCAAAAAGGGGAGGTGCAAGATCCTTGTGAATTAATAATTGGGATATACTCAGTGGTTTGTTACAATCCACACGTTGCTGTCTCCGGCCCAACACGGCCAACATGCAATGCCTTATTATACTTTTTTCCTATGATAGACGGGAAAGGAATCCAATGCTCTAGCTTTGACCCTTCCTCCCCCTTCTCTCCTAATTGTAATCCATATAAAACAAATATCATTTTTATCTAATTAATCCACCATCGGATGAAGTTGACTCAGATCATACATTCATCCATCATGATCGGCGTAACATCATCTGTTTGGTTTCATGCCATGATGATGGGTGATGTTTCTGAATCACAACTTTAATTCTTACAAAAAACAGAAGTTATATTGAATGCATGTTTCATCTTCTCCAGATGCTTCAAGTTACAGTGTTATTTACACCCCTTATTGATATCCAGTTTGGATGGTAGATAGCCCTATAACCGGTGCAGAATGTGGATCGATCAAGTAGTTTGATTGAATAATTGACGTCCTAACTCCTAATCAGGGGCACCCCTCTTGTCTCTTAACGAGGAAGGCACTGTTAGGTGGAAGGATCTTAATGTATTCAATTTAGGATTCAGGTGGCGGACCCTTATGCTTCTCAATTTCATTGCCTTATGGCATGGATTTTGTAGCTTATGTACCCTACACTTTTTGGGTCACTACTGCACTTATCGCAATCAGATGGTTAGGTGTCAGGGACGGGTTCTTCCGTTCTTCGTTTGGTCACATTCGTGGTATTTGTTTACCTATAAACACTATGAGGGTGTTTAGAATCATAGGCGTTTATTCAATAAACATTATATATAGGCGCCATTTCAGCAGTTTTCCTTTCATGTCCTTTTGTACATATTTAGAATAATAGTAAAATGTGATTTCGGTTTCTATGCATGTTTACTATTTGGGAAAGTTGTTTTTTAAACGTTCCTCAAACAGTTAGACATTTTTTCACTGTTATGCTGATGTGGTGCCTAATGGTGCCTAATGATGCCTAATTGTCATAAACGGTTGTAATTATTACTTTTCTAGTTTTATAAGCAAATAAAATATAAACATTGACAAAAAAAAATGTAAACGAAACCAAACACATATTATATATGGTGTATGTAATTCTTTAATAAAGTTTGCCTTCTTTAAGGTTAGGCTCTGTTTATTTGTGAATTGCGGTGTAAAATGTGAATGGGGTGGAAATTTTGCATTTACTTTTGTTTATTTGTAGTTAAAATTTGTACTCCTACCTGATGTGAAATTTGAATTTACTATTCCAGTTGCACTCTTTTCTTTTTGAGTGGGCAAATGTATTACATGACTGGGGTGTGGGGTGTCCCTTCTTAAACCCTCAACCCTGGTGAAGGTGAGATTGGATCCCTAGCCTCTACTAAAACCAGGCTAGAGACCTCACCAATAAACTGGCTGGCACCCCATTTTCCTTTGCACATTCATTGGCGTGCAAAGTTTGTTTGTTTGTTTGTTATTTCCTCCCTTAAAAACTGACGCAAAATTTATACTGCTTTCCTCCTTCCAAACAAGTAACCATATATTTGTATTTATTTCGATTTTCGAAGTGGGGGCAGATTATATTACTAATTCACTCGTAAGTCATAAGCAAACAAACAAAACGACGCGAAACCTGAAGCAGAAATAAACAAAATTTACACTGACCCATTTGCACCCAACCCAGTGTAAATGAAAATCAGACTGCAAAACAAACAGAGCCTTACACGCCCGGCCCATAAAGCGTGCTTGTAGGCTTGTTGCTCTCTTACTACACGTCAAAACCCCCCAAAAATGACACATATGGGGAAAGAAAGGACATAGGAAATCTTGTATTTTTATCACATTGGGCTGGTGAGGAGGCCCAGCCAACACTTTCATGTGATACCATTAAAAAGCCTTGGATACCTTGGCCATGCATACTCAGCACAAATGCAACGCATATACCAACTTCACTTTTCATGACAGCATCTGCTTATCCCTATGCTCCATCTCCCAGTTTATACTTTTTTTTTAATAATTTATAATTTATAATTTATAATTTATAATAATAATGGGCTGAACTGAACTGAATTAAATGGGCTTATTTCTTTGTCTTTTTACCAGATCATTTTCCCTGGACCCTGGCAGTAGCAAGCAGAGTAGCTTAGCATAGCATAGCTAGGCAGTGTAAGTAATGCAGAGAATAGAAGAACAGAACACATGAAGAGGCCACCTAAAACGAGAGATCTGTCAGGAGTAAGCTTTGGAGTGCAGAGTCGATCAGATCAGACGATTCACAACCAAACCATAACCACATCTTGAGTGTGGGTGGATAAGGAAAAGGACACACAATCGTTCAATTGACTGTCTGGCAAAGCTACCCATCAAATTAAATGGCCTTCAAGTTTGCAACTTCCCAACTGTATCCAACTCGCATGTGGGTCCCGATCCTCTGAATCAGATGGCCACCATTTTTTCAATCAGTGTGGGGCTCGCTTTTTAACTGTGCCCCAGTTCCGCGCGTACATCAAAGTCTGTATGACCGTTCTGACGAAAATATTCAAATCTCTCTCTCTCTCCCCTCTTTTTCGCTTTTTTAGATCTCTGTGGGTGTGACTGTTATTAAAATCTTACTTCTTTTTCTCCCTTCCCCACTGTAAATTTCTCAATTCTACACCACCTTAAACCCCACATAACATCTATTTAAACCCATTAAGAACCAAAAGAGGAACTCATTTCTACAATTTTTTTTTTCTTTTTTTTTTTTTAATTTACTTTCAGGGTTCCTTCCTTTCTGCAGCTTAACAGACCTTTGGTGCCTCTCTCACAAAAATCCCCTTTAATTCTTTTCATTCTTCTCTTTCTTCTCTGCAACCGAACACTTTTTCCATCCATTATAAGAGGCATGTCAGGTTTATATAGTCACAACTTCTCACCTGCAAGAGCGGTTTCTCCGCAGATTAGGAACACCCCGGACATCGAGAGGTACTATGGAAACATGAAAGCGTTGTTTTTCTATGTTGTTGTTGATTTTTTATTTTCTTTCTTCTTGTTTTTTTTTTCTTTTTTCCCGAGAAATTCCTATAATTTTGATTGATTTGGCTGTTGTTGAATTCTGGGTACCTTTTCTTTCCTTTTAGTCAGTACTTGACGGAGCTATTAGCTGAACATCAGAAGCTTGGTCCTTTCATGCAAGTCCTTCCAATATGTAGCCGACTGTTGAATCAAGGTTTGTACCTCCATTGGCTTCCTTATGAGTTCTGGATCTAGGTTTTCTGGGTTGTGATGGATTTCTTTGGTTTTGGTCTATTTTATATGATCACAAGAATGCTGTTCTTTATGCATAAGAGATGTACTAGATCAGTTTGGTAGGTTTTTATCTTCACTATCCTTTGGCTTCTTGCCTCGACCTTTTAGTCTCTGCTTTGAACAAGAATATGTTGCTTGATGTAATCCTCCTATTAAATGCTGTTTGGGAGGTTTCTTTTGAGTTAATTGATAAAAATGGTCATTGAAACTTGAAATCGATGTCTTATTTGATATATTCTTATAGAGGAAGAGGATCACTAATAAAAGGGATAACATTAAATCATGAAATTTTGTTAAGTTTATGGATACAAGTAAAGGGCATTCCAAGAGATTCCTTGTTTTGATACTTGTTTGCTTAGTATGTTAACTATATCGCTTCCACAATATTAGTTGTTGGTAGAATTTAGAAACTAGAATCAAGTGAAGTGAAGTCAACTCAACAGAGTCTTAATCCCAACCTTCTGGGGTTGCTACATGAATTCTATATTGCCATTGCACCTTATCAAAAGCCATGCCTATCACCAATCTTTAGTTCCTTACTCCTTAGAGCACAGTAGGGAAAATATTATGCCAGTATAAATGTTGAATAGCTTCAACAAAATGAAATGGGGCAACCTTGATTTTCAGAAGCATAAGCAACAGGAGAGGCGGAGCTATATTTGTAACAGAAAATAGAAAAATTAATTTAGGATCTGGATGATAACTAGTCTTTGGATACGGGATAGGGATGCCCTGGGGCTCTTGAGATTAATTGGGATCCAAACAGAATTGTAATTATGCTATTCTGGCAACCCTGGAGTTTAACCATATCTTTATTTTAATTTCAGACCCTTATACTATTCATAAGTTTCGTTTTTTAGTTCTTGGTCAACTCTCTCTCTCTCTAAATTTATCAGAAGTACAAGTCAGTTCTTACTGTCATTTTACTTCATGTGTACAGAGATTTTACGGGTTTCTGGGATGGCCTCCAATCAAAGTTTTGGTGATTATGACAGACTTCAGCATGGTAGCCCCAGCCCAATGGCATCCTCAAACCTTATGTCAAGTTTTGGAGGAACAGGTTTAGGGGTATGGAATGGGCTCTCTCAGGAGGTAAGTGTTGCGTGCTCTGTTGGTAGCATCTTCATCTTGTCATTCCACAACTCTTTATGTTGCAAGTTTAATATAAAATCCCTTCTTACTGCCTTTTGTTGCATGTTTAATTGCCTACATGTGGCTTTTACTAACAGCTTAATAATGAGCACTTCTAGTGTTGGAATGCAACACCTTTGATGAATATGGTGGTCTATGATGTAGATGAACAATTATTCCCCTTAAGTGCACATGTGCCTTACTGTCTCATTGATTCAGAGAGTGTCCAGACTCCAGACCTAGATACTTTTACCCATTGAACAACATATAGCTTAATGTTGCAGATTTGCACTTGACTAGATACTTACACTTTTCCTGAGTGTTAAGTGTTAACCTTATCCCTTAAGCTGCTCAAGTATTAGCTGTTGTCCGCAAGGGGAAGGGGGTCCTCCATTGATGTGATACTTGATGTTTCCCATACAAAGATTCCAAGAGTTAGCCAACTAACCATTACCCGACATAGGTATCATGGATGAAGTTATTTTGTTCACAATGACTAGTTGGCGATCATGTCAAAGCAATTCTAATGATGCAGGGTCTAGAGAGTTACTAAAACCTTTTTATATCATCAGTCAGATATTATCATGCTGCTCTTTACGTTTTTTCTTTGTCTCTAGTAGCAAGAAAAGAAAAATATTATCTGGACAATCCATTCAATGATTTAATTCCACTAAATTTTCACGAAAACCAGTTATTTTACTTAGTTACATATCATCCGTGAAATGTTCTTTGCATTGTTTGAATTTACTTTGCTGCTTTGGCCTTTTGCTCCTCGCTTCTGTTATCATATATTGCGAACATAATTGGTCAAATAATACATTTGTATCTGCTTCAAGAAGTGCCTATTTACAGCAACCATTTTTCATATTTTTCTTAAATGTAAGTAAAAACTATAAAGTGAGATATGTCTTCTAAAAAGGGGGCTTGACTTGACAACTTCTAGTTAAATTTCTATAATCACTGCATTCCTTTTTCTGTTCCCTTTAACACTCAATGTAACCTGACATGTGGTTAATTGCTCCTTGCTTCTGTTATCATATATTGCAAACATATTGGCCAAATAATACATTTGTAGCTGCTTCAAGAAGTGCCTATTACTGCAGTCAATTTTTCTTAAATGTAAGTATTAGCTATAAAGTAAGATGATGCATTAAAAAATGGGGACTTGACAACTTCTAGTTAAATTTCTATAATCACTGCATTTTTTTTTTCCGTCCCCTTTAACATTCTAAATAGCCTGGCATGTGGTCCATTGTGATTGACTTATATCAAGTCTTTCATCTGATGACTAAGTTGTATCACTTTTGCCTTCAACTAACATCTATGTTGCTTGGGCCTCTTAACATATTTCCATGCTCGATTCTCATGTGGCCTTGTTTTATGAACTTTATGGTCCATTTAAAATGGTAACATGTATGAAGAGGGCTTTCCGTACTTTCCAAAGGTTGTATTGAGAAATGCCTTCAACCACTTCTTGGTAATTATGACAGAACTTCATCAAGTCCTAACAAAAGAGAGGATAACTGACAAAATGAACTGAAGTTAATGTTTTAATGGATATCAACAAGGAACAAGAGTGGAATATCTTAAAATAAAATTATACATTTTATGTTATTTCTATTGTGCAGTTTCTATCTAATTGCTTTTGTTGATTTCTTACATGTCAGAAAAAATCAAAAGAAAAGGATAATGTATCTAGGACACATGAATTGATTTTATAAAGATTGTTTCCTCTCTCTCTCTCTCTCACATCTGCGATGTATAAGTTCATCTTATTTTAATGCTTAAATTTAATCTGGCTTTGTTTTATTCACACCCTAATTTGATGCTGTTAAAAAACAATATTTTGCAAGTTATGCTCATTTGATAGTAGTAGACTAACAGTTCATTAGTATTCTTGCTTTGAATATCTTGCACATTGCACAACAAAATATTTATATTGGTTAATTAAAATTGAAGAAACAATTTTGTAAATCTATACTTAATAAAGTACAAGCACCTTATTTCCTTTTACAAGTTATAGAAGCTTAGAATGTCAATGTTTCACATCCCGCCTATTTCCTTTCAACTTTTAGAATCTCTTCTTGGGTTGCAAGGTGCTTAGAGAAGTTTATGAGAGATTTCCTTTGGGATCCAGGAGAGGAAAGGAAGGACCATTTGATCAAGTGGGAGCAGGTTAGCAAACTTTAGGAACAAGGGGGTTTAGGAATTGGGAACATCCTATTAAGGAACACAACTCTACTAGGTAAATGGCTTTGGAGGTTTCCCTTTGAGAGAGACAAACTATGGCAAAAAGTGATTAAGGGCATTCATGGGGTGGACGAAAATGGTTGGGATGCAAAAATCTCCCCTCACTGTTCTTCGACTTCTCCTTGGAAAGCAATTCATGAAATCTACCCTACTTTCCTCAATTCCATCCGGTTTGATGTGGGACAAGGTAATAAAATTCTATTTTGGGAAGATCTTTGGGTAGGGGAAACCCCACTTAAAGATCAATTTCCTGATCTCTTTGCGCTATCTAACCTTAAGGGGGAAAAGCTATATCCATGTTGGGAGCACAATGTCCAAATGGTGTGAACTGGAACTTGGGCCTCAACAGGGGACTAAGGGAAAACGAATCTGAGTCTTTAATCCTATTGCTGGACCTTCTAGGGCAAATCCACTTGGACCCTTCACTGGAAGATTCTAGGATCTGGGTAGGCTCTCCAGACAGTCTCTTTTCTTGTTCTTCATTCTTTAGAGTACTTACTTCCCCCAACCCCCTGGGTGTGTGAAAGAAATTTGGTGCAAGCCTATTCCCCCGAATATTCAAGCCTTCTGTTGGGAAATATTCCTTGGTAAGGTAAACATTTGTGATATGCTGCAGAGAAGAAGGCCATACGTCTGCCTTTCTCCTCATGTGTGCTCTTTGTGTAAGGAAAGTGGTGAGACCCTATCCCATTTAATGATATCCTGTTCTTTTGTGCTCTAAATTTGGGAATTCTTTTGTACTCTCTTTGGCTGTAGGTGGGTTCCCCCTCAAGATGTGGCAGAACTCTTCAACCGTGACTTCTTGAGACCATGAAAGAAAAGAGGGATGGTAATGTGGAAAGCAACAAAGGCAGCAATTTATTGGGTAATATGGGAAGAGAGGAATAATAGGATTTTCTCGGAAAAAAAGCAGAACAGTAGAGGAAGTCATTGATAGCATCAAGGTGAAAGTATCTCATTGGGTAAAACCCTTGGATAGCTTTCAAGTCTTCTTAGTCACAGACATTCTAAAAACCTGGCCTGAAATAGCAGTCATCAAGAGTAAGAGATAAAGTAAGGCTGGAGCGGAAACCGCCAGAAGGCAATAAAGTGAAACTAAATTTTGATGGGAGCTCCTTTGGAAATCCGGGCGTTTCAGGAGTAGGAGGAGTATTCGGAAATTCTGAAAGGAAGATATTGGGTTTGTTCTCAGGACTGGTTGGCATCAGAAACTCATTGAAGGATGAAATTTTGGCATTACTACAAGGGTTAAAGTTAGCCAAACAGTTAGGATAAAGACATATTGAGGTGGAAGGGGACTCAAAAGTAGTAATTGCAGTAGCCATACCTCGTGGACGTTTAAACAAGTGATTAGGGAAGTGGAAAAGATTGCAAAGGAGGTTGAGGCTGAATTTTAATGGGTCCGAAGAAGTGCAAATGAGCTAGCTGATGTTTTAGCAAAACAGGGGGCATTGAGACAGCAACTATTTTGGGATGCACTGTAATGAGGGATAGAATAAAGTGATTAAAGGGATCAACAGTCCCATCACCAAGTTGTATAAACTGTTTACAGTCTTTAATTTAATAAAATACATGTTTACTGATAAAAAAAAGTTTTACATGGTAGTAGTTAAAAATGGTTTTGTTGCATTTGCTGGCTGTAATAAGAGGATCCTGGAAAGTGCTATTGGATTAAGAATGGGTCTGAGCTCTGAAGCAAGCTTCAAAGAAGAGGTTGAGGTTGCCTGCTTATTGCTTGATTTAGAAACTTGTCAAGGAACTCCCTTCTGGATAATAAAAATGAAACATCTCAATGTCAAAAACCAAGATAGGAATGTAATCTTGATTCCTGAGTAGTGGATCTGTGTTCATCTTAGCATAGGAAAGAATGGGAAAAAAGACTCCGTACGTGATTAGATGATGAGCTACGTTTATTGAACTCAGGTAGTGGTAGAGAGGTTATGAGGATCAGGTTAGCTATTTTGGTGATTTCTTTGTACATAGGAAAGAATGGGAAAAAGACTCCGTACATGATAGATGATGAGCTATGTTTATTGAACTCAGGTAGTGGTAGAGAGGTTATGAGGATCAGGTTAGCTATTTGGTGATTTCTTTTGTACGAGGAAGTAGCTTTTGCACATATATAAAGGTTTAATGGGTGCATTAATTATTAAAAGTTTATTAAAAATATATATGAGGGTAGTCAATGTATTTAAAAGGAATCTTAATGTTCAAATATCATGACATGTTTGAATTGTCTGTTTCACACAGAAGGCCAAAAGCACCAAGTCCCATTGAAACTTGAACAAGTCTTGGCAATCCAGGCCCTTCTGGGATATAGGTGGAGTATTAAGAAATGATAGGGGGGGAATTCTGGGACTGTTCTCAGGACCAATTGGGGGAAGAGGATTCCACAAGAGCAGAACTGAAGGCAGTCATGTTCGGCCTACAGAAAACTGTGGAATTAGGCTCTCAAAAGCTGGTAATTAAAGGTGATTTTATAGCAATCCTAAGCTGGCTGAGAAAAGAGGAAAAAAATCCATGGTGGTTCAGAAATGAGATAAAAAAACTTAGAAAGTTGTCAAAAGACCTACAGTTATTAATTCAGTGGGTTCCAAGGTCAGCCGGCAATCTAGCTGATCAGTTGGCAAAACAAGGGGTGAACAGAGAACAAGTATTCTGGGCACAGTTATAACATAGAAAAGCAAAATCTTTGGGGGTTTTTCTGTCTCCTGTTGTAAGGGGTAGCCAAGGCTACTCAATGATGTAAAGACACCCTTTCTTTATCAATAAATATCTTCTTTTAATGATAAAAAAACTTGAAGAAGTCTTCCCCCCTCTAAGAAGCCATAAAAGTGCTTCCTGAGAGCAATCCCAGAACATGTTCTCACATGTCACATCTGGTTCTTTGGGTTAACAGCTATTATTGCAATCATCCTGATTCTTAAGAAAGTTGAACAATTTGAGTTAACTTGTTTGGAGCTTTGAAATATCTGATCTAGTTTCCAACCATGATTCACATCTTGGAAACATAGAAATGAAAATTTTTGTCAATGTTCTTACTGGCAAGTTTTCTAGATGTTGGGTGTACTGTGGGTCCAACTCCTCTCTTGTCTCATATTGCTCTTGTTTCAAAAAGAAAAGGAGAGGGAAACATATGTAATCTGTTGCTATTCTCTTGGAGGGTTTCTCTCAACACAAAATAGTTTTCTTAGATAATGGAGTTCACTGTGAAGGCTCATACCATAGTACGTATTTGCTATCAAGCATCTCCAAAGATTGTTTTCAAGAGGTTGTTCTTCCTTTTGAGGTGAGAAGTATTCTGTTTCTTTGGTGATTGTATTCCACCTTGTTGGTGAAAGGTTTGGGCTTTAACTAAGAGGATTTCTTTTCTTGATGCTTTGTTTCCTCTAGCTATTGCTAGAAAGGTATTTTGTATTCCCATTATCATCATTATAGTGGAGATTTTCTGGGCTAGTGCCTTGTGTTCCTTTTGGAGATCTTTTCCTTGTTAAAAATCATGATGTGCTCTTATTCTCTATTGCTTTGCATTTCTTTTACTTGAATACTGTTATTGTTGCCATTCTATTTCCTTGTTCATGCTTAGTTTGAGCAAGAAGGAAGGGATGATTTTTGTGTAGACGCAAAACAGAATATTCTGCGGGCAGAATACATTGTTTTTGCGCAAAACAGAGTACATTCATAAACAACACCCAAAACAGAGTACTTGAGCATTACAGACCATTTTGTTCTTCTCCATATCAGTGTGCTTGTGTCCCAACCACCCCAACATTAGACACGCCCCAAATACTTGTGTTTGAAAGCAGTTGATGCTAATTTGCTTAAGAATTTTGAGTATAAAACACAAGAGTGGTCTACTGAAGTTCCTTGCAATATGGCGTGGAGTGAGGAACCCTTAACTTGGAGGTGGTGTTGCGTTGTTCATCTATTTAGTCTTACATATTCTTTAATTTTCTGTTTACCAAAGCTGCTGACTGCTTTTAGTTTTTTGAAATGTCCCATGCTGACCATCCCATCATTCACCTAAAAAGCTGATCATCCATCCCATTTGAATCCAATACTTGATGGTAGAAAGCAGCTTTTCATTTTAATCACTCACTAACATAATGAGATACAATTGACATGTCAGGGCAGTGGATGGGATGCGATCTTTCATCTTAGTATCTTTAGTAGTTGAATCCATTGAATAGTGCTTTGGTAATGGGGGAATCTGAGTCACTCTGTTTTGGTACCTTTTATTAAAAGCTTCCCATAGGTTAGGCCTGCTTATTCTTTTGATTCATCACAAAGTTCTGTCTGGGGAGGGAAGATCATGTTAATCTAACTTATCCAGATTATCTTGTGTATGGCAATGGATCATGTTAAATGATTAAAAAGACATGGTTCTATAAGGTTAGATATGTAGCTGTCTATTGTTTGACCTCCAAAGTGAGGCTATGTTTATAGGATTCACACAAGGTTCAAAGTATCAATGTAAAATGCTTCGTATCGGGCGTATCATATCTTGTGGTGTTTTAATATGATAAAAGGTGTTTTTATGGGACACTTGTCTAAAGGTTACCCAAACAAAGATAAAAAAGATAGAGTTGGAGTCAAAACAAACTCTCGATACACAAAGTATTGGGAGTATTGATACTTTGAACCATGGATTCACATATGGCATAGAGATACTGTTGATTTATATCCTATAACGGTATAACCAATGTTACATGGACTCTCCTAAATGGATGAAATGCCCATGTTTGACAAACTTGGTTTCCAACACTTAATGGATTCTTGATGGAAACTACTATGTAACATGTTTCTTTTTCTTCTAGCTTATTTGATATAAATGAACAGCCTATGTACATGATAAGTTCTATTTTTTTTCCTATGAAATGTTACTTAGAAAGAAAAGACAACATAATAAACCTTTTTTTATAGGTAAATAATGTTTGAAGTCAAAAAATATGAACTATTATACTTTAGACGTTTACAGGAGTCAATGTTTTTTTGTCTTTCTGAGTTAGACTTGGACACGTCTTGTATTCTAATTTCCATGTCTGTAAATCTGTGTCCATGCAATACTGGCTACATGACATTACTGTCTTACATCTGTTACCTGTTGTTTTGAGCTGCTCGAGTGTCCCCATTTCTACTCATTTCTGATTGTCATTTCTTCTGATGTTGTGGACTAACATTTTAAGCACCTATTATACATCTGAGTTTTAAGTGCCTTCATTTTTCATCCTTGTATTTCTACAGTTTCTTTATGGCAATTGTACTTTCTTTTATTTTCTTTTTCTTTTTCTTTTTGATTTTTAGTATGTTACAAGTTATATACCTACAACTTGTGGAACCAATACCGTTATTTTATTATGTGACAGAGATTTGGTGGGCCTCAAGGAATAACCATGGACTGGCAAGGAGCACCAGCAAGCCCAAGCTCATTTGTTGTCAAGAAGATTTTGCGCTTGGAGATTCCAGTAGACAGTTACCCAAATGTAAGCTTATCAATTGTGTATTCTATCTTTAAACTTATTTGAATAAAATTGTTGCTTGTAAGTAGAAGGGTAAAAGATATCACAACTGACTACCTATTATGCACCACTAGTTCAATTTTGTTGGGCGGCTTCTGGGGCCTAGGGGTAACTCACTAAAACGGGTGGAAGCTTCTACAGGCTGCCGTGTGTACATTAGAGGAAAAGGTTCAATAAAAGACCCAGGCAAGGTAAGATATATTGGAAACTGGAAGCATGATTTCTAAGAGAAATAATTTTTTTTTTTCCAATTCAAATTTCCTTTGTGATTATGTACTAAATACTTTTATATGCCTTTTGTCCTCAAGGAGGAGAAGCTAAGAGGAAGACCAGGTTATGAGCACCTAAATGACCCCCTCCATATTTTGATTGAAGCTGAGTTACCTGCCAATATTGTTGATACGAGACTAAGACAAGCCCAGGAAATTATCGAGGAATTGCTTAAACCTGTGGTATTTATTCTCAGTTGATGCCATTTTCTTGGAATCCAGCTGTCAATTCTGATAGTTTAGTGATATTATTCTTGTTAAAAGAAAATCTTGATGTTGAGTCTGTCTGCTGCATGTTGATACTGTGGTTTGTGGTAGAAACTGTCAAGTTCAGAGTTTCTATCAATCTTCATAAGAGCACTCAAGTGAGGACAGACAAGTTTGAGCTGCTCATGTGGCACTCATTGTGGGTCTGTTGGACCACCATTCCATTATTTCATGTCCTCAACTCATTTAACTAAGAAAATACATGAAGACCTGTGATAGACCATGATTCTCCAATCCCCTGGCAATACATGTTGTGCAAATCTAGCAAAACAATTTGATCAGTCCTTAGCAATTATCATCATCATTATCAAAACCTTGTCCCAATTCCCAACTATATATGGGGTTGGCTTCATCTTTTCTGCCATTCCATTCTGTTCAGTCCATCCCCCACCCCCCAAAGACTCCGGATAGCCGGAATCATCAACATTGGTTAATGACCTTTGTTCTTAATTTTTCTTCATCTTCCACATGGCAGGATGAGTCACAGGATTTTTACAAGAGGCAACAGCTCAGGGAACTAGCCATGCTGAATTCTAACTTAAGAGAAGAGAGCCCTCGACCAAGTGGTAGTGTATCTCCTTTCAATTCCACTGGGATGAAGCGGGCAAAAACTGGGCGGTAGGAAATCATTATTTTGGTTCTCTTGAATGGTTTCTCAGATATATAACTGATTCTCGTGCCCAGATACACCTCTTTGACGTATCCCAATTCAGATAATCTTCAAAAGGATAATGAGTTCTCTGTTGGGAACTTCTCTTTTGATAACAGAGAAAAAGGGAAAAGTAAATGAAGGCCTCAAGTGCATTATCTGGATCTGACAATGTTGGCCATGCATGTTGTAAGCTTAGAACATTTATTTGATTTATTTTTTGTATCGTTAACCTTGACATATGGCATGACGTGTGTGGAAGATGTATTAGTTGTGTAATAGGCAGGCCTTGGCCGAGGGATCACTACCGGTGAGTATATTTTCGTAGCATGTTTTTTTACTCATTATCTTTCTATCAGAATAGGGAATTAGAAGAAAATAATCTGTAAGAACATTTACTTGATTCTTGGAAATTGTTTCGACTTTGTATTTGGTTCATGTACATAGGATTTTGGAACGTGGTATGGAAAATATATCATGCTGTTTATGCATCAGAAAATAAATCTGATCCAAAGATTCCTGCAGAAACTGATATAGTGAGTACCAGGGCCAGAACAACACAAAATGTTCATATGGTTGAAGTTCAACAATTTTGTTCTAGAATCTAAGCATCTAATACGTCAGTAAGTTCTCAGTTGGCTTGGCTTAAGTGGGCCAACTTTAGCTTTGATGAAGCTATTGCTTTGCTGCCTTGTTAACTGTAATTGGATAGGATAGTAGGATTTCCATTTGATTTATACCGTATGGTCTCCTATTCACTTGGGTTGTATTTGGTACCATTGCTGTTTCTCCCTTAAATTTACATAAAATTGTTATTTGAGGCTATTTATTGTTAAGTAGACGTATCTTAAAAATGTATGTATGAGAGGCTGTTTCTTGCTCTAGGGGTGAAGTCTAATCATTCTAGTTAAAATAATTCTCATGTGATGTGATGATGCATGTCTCTCGCCAATTTGTATTGATCAACCCAAAAGGTTTTTTGAGGTAGAAACATCAATGTCACCAAACACAACCCCAGCAATGGTCTTGGCCATAGACAAAGTCCTATGCTACATTTGCTTTGTAGATTGTGAATTATGATGATGCTTGCATTGAAGCCCGAACTGAACATATGCTTTTTACTCTGTTTGAGGTGGTCTGACGGCTGACATCGAACATTCAGACCATGTCTTATAATGGTCATACATATAAACCAAGTTCCCGATTCCAAATCAGACCATGGGCTGCGTTTATGTCAAAAAATGTTGAACTCGTCCAATTAGATGGAAGAATTCATTTACCAAGACTTTTTAATCGATGCATTGAGAGGGGAGCTGGACTTGCCGTTTAAGGAAACCCGCCTTATTGTCACCACCTGGCCAGTTGCCTAAGGCTGTGTTTGGTTGCAATACAAATTTATTTGCACTGATGCAGAACCATGGTAGTGAAAATGATTTCGGTGCAAATTATAATTTGTTGTTAGATCAAAATTTACCTTATTTTGTTTGATTGCAATACAAATGAAGTAAATAAGACCTGACTCGAAACAAAATTAAACCAGAATTTGCATTCTTTTCATTTGCACTTCCATTGTACCAGTGCAAATAAAATTGCACTGCAACCAAACACAGCCCAAGTTTCAATCAACCATTTGCAAGATTTACTAAGGATAATATTCTCGATTTCTCATAAGCAATTATATTTGTTGCTGCTTGGTTTGGCAACAAGTGTGAGGGTGATGATTTAACAAACTTTGAAGTTTGAAATGATAGTGATCTACAAATGTAATGATGGTTAGAGGCCACGAGGTGGTTCCCAGGGAAAGGTTATCCAACGCTCAAGTTAGTATCAGATGAAAGTCAGCAAAGTTGAACTGAGATAGCAAGATGAGCTATGAAGTGTAGTGCGAGCTGAGCAGTGAGAGCAAAAATGCATCAGAAAGTGTTACCCTGGATGACGAGCCCTTTTATAGGCACTCAGAGTGTCACCCTAGGGTTTATTACTCTTGTATTGGTGGGTGGCCTGTTCTGTTTCTAGTTCGTGGGCCACATGTCACCTCCTTGTAGGAGTCACCAAGTGACTTGGGATCTGCTCCTCACACTGGGTGCCTCACACTGACCTCACAGGCACATCTCACCATGCAGTGGGAACATCTCCCGTGAATACCAACATACAAGTATGAGAGATGTTCCCAATGCATGGTGGGATGTGCCTGTGAGATCGGTGTGAGGCACAGATCCGGTTCCATTGTTCAGTAGTGTCTCCAACATGGGCCATGTGTGTCCTAGAAGGGCCAAGCCGTTGCATCAACTTGAGTCTTATGCTGCCTTTGTTGCCAACATGCAACACATGTCGCTTCTTCGATTGGAATTAGTCGAGGACTTGAGATCGCATTGGCACCCCACATGTACATCTCAGCATGCATTGGAAACATTTCCTATATTAATCATGAAAGATGTTTACATATGTTGCCTCCTTTGCTGAAGCTGCCAATCATGCATCTACTCAACTCGCCCACGTGTCTGCATCATGGCTCAGCCAGGTGTCCACTTTTCATTAGAGCGTGGAATATAACTGATTCTTTAAAAAAATACTATTGTCATGCAAAATATAACAACTGCATCGATTTCCGTACTTCCCCAATCGAAATTTCGATTTCTGAGCGGGTGCTGCCCCCCTCCACTCCCCCACTCCCCCTTTTTTTTTTTTTTTTTGTGGGATCCAAGAAAGCAAATGGAAACTAAGCATATAAAAGAGCATACTGGGTAAAAGTAAAACATGAGCCTTGGGACTGCATTTTGTATCACCAAAAGTACCTAGAATCTAATAAAGCATAAAAGTGAAAATTAGGAAGGTTTACCAACTTAATAGTGTTCTAGTATTCATACCCTAGAAGCTCAATGTGGATGGTGCAAGTGAGGGAATCCTGTAAGAGTTTTGTTTTCTCTTCCTTCTTCCTTCTCTACTATCTACTATCTGGGTTGAGAAATTATTGATGATGCATCGATTCTATACTTGCATTGGGGATTGGCATATACACATGCAACTGAATTGCATTGGCATCAATAGCTTTACAACCCTTTTTCCTCCTGTAAAGTGGGATACCATATCCTTTTATTTTTCGCTTCTACACTACTCTACTGATGGACACATACCCAGCATTAATTGTATTAGGGTAAAATATAAAAACCTCATCTGTGGTTTCTTTCTGACAATCATAAAAACCTTCCCTCAAGTTTTACTTTAACAAAAACCTCCTCTAAACTTTTGGAAAACTCTCCCTTCCGTCAATGAACCAGACAGAAAACGTTCAATGATGCATTAATTTTTCAAAATGACCATCCTACGTACCCTTTTAAAGCATTTTCGCATGACATGAAAACGTCATTCCCACAAATTAAAGATTTGAAGTATGTAGTAGACTATAGGCAAAAGCACGTGCAATGCAAGATCCTCATGTTGGTAACCTGAAAAGTATGTAGGCCATTCCTGTGTGGCGGTGTCCCTCTTTCTTTCAACCTTCTTCCTTCTCTATTTTTTGAGAGAGGCCAAGCTCCAAGGCGAAGACTTTTAATACTACATGAAGATCTATTCCATAATCCTTGGCCGGAACAGCAAGAAATCAACTGTGGACGTCTACCTCGCTAGCCTCGGCGGTGGCATGAACATCTCCTGCATCTTCTACGATTTCCAACGACGCTGCGTCGCCCTCAAAGTCGTTGGGAAGAATGGATGCTTCGTCGAAGGCATCCTCCACCTCCCTAGTAACTCTCCCGTCAAGAAACTCTACCTCCTCCTTATTGTCTACAGCATCCTTAGAGGTTCTCTGCTGCCACATCCCTCTCCTTCAGCCTTCTCGTCTGCTACACATCTGCCCTTTGCATGGGTTGCGTTGCCTCCACCGCTGCATCACTCTTCCAAGAAAGGGTGGGGGTAGGGCATCAAGTCATTATTTGGACGATGATGAGGAAGACACCAATAACACTATTGTTGCTAGTGCTAGCAAGAAATTACAGAGAGAACGGCATGAGATGTTTGGATATGGTGGATCGAGAGGAAAGATAGGGTCATCTAGACAATTAGAGAAAAAGTCAGAAACCAGGTCAAGAGCTACTGTGCTTTCTGATCTTTGTGGTCCAGGAGAATGGATGCCCACGACAATACTTCATTTTGATCTAGTAGAGCAATATGGGAATATTTGGCATCAAAGGACTGTCCTGTCAATGAATCCAAGGGAAGACCATGGTTTGGACTGCTTACATTGTTGAGGAATATCCAAAATATTTTGTCATCAACATACGGTCCAAGGGGCATGTAACGTTTGAGTTTGTTTCCTTGGTGTCCTTGCTTTGATGAGTTAACTTGCATGGCCGAGTATTTCCAATGTGATTCTTCCTGAGGCATGGCACAGGTGACCCTGAACCCTTTTTCTCTGTTTTTTCAGTATTCTAGATGGGTTGTTTAAAGGAAAAGTCTCCTCTTCAAAAAAATAGTGTAATTAATTATGATGGGTACCAAAACCACATGTGATAAAGAGAGTAAGAAAATCATCATCCCTGTTCTCCATCTTGAGCATATTCAAGTGTTAGAAGCCGCACAACAGGGACGATGTAGGTGTCGAAGCAAGAAACAAGGGATGGCTGCATCGCAGTGATGAAGACAGAGGGCATTGGATGGGTGAACCAGATATAGACAAGAAAACCACACAGTTCATTACAAAGTTGTATGCAACCCACATCTCAAATCTTGAATGGCAAGTTGTTAAAGTTCAATGGATTGACTTAGCAATCAAGGATGGAGGATTGAAAGAAGAGGAAGAAATTGACAAAGAAATAATATGAAAAAACCGAAAGGAAAAGAGGATAAAGAGATTCTTCCTTACCGGATAAATTGGAGTTTGGATGAGAGATTGTGTCCTGCGTTACTCCTCTTACCGGATAAATTGGGATAAGAAAAAAGGGAGAAGAGGTCGACAGTGGAGAAGAGGATAACATGTCGACAGGGGTATTTTTGTAAAAACATATGCAAACCATTCGCAAAAGGGTAAAATAGGCATTTGGGAAAAATTGATTCAATAGTTTAACATTTTCCGTCTTGGTTATTGACGGAAGGGAGGTTTTTGTCATATTTTTTAAAAATTTAAGAGAAGGTTTTGCTAAATTGTCAGAAACTTCAGGGGAGCTTTTTGTATTTTACCCAAAGTGAAATTTTTATTTTTATTTCCCAGTTGTTATAACACACTAGGTAACCAATTACAAATTCACAATTAACACGTTGGTGTTCCATGCATATTGGACCCACATGACATGAGCCAACACCAGAATCCACAAGTGGATCCTCTCTCCTATGTGTATGGAAAAATGGCGTATCCACCCATCATAGGTTAGTTAATCCACGCAAGTATTCACAGCAGAGCCCGAGTGGCTTAGAAGGAAACTTGCGTCCTTCCTTGAATGAGCGAAGATCATCACCGAAAACCACGATGAACCATAGCTCCGACTCTTAGAATTTTCGTTCTCAAATGTATCCTCTAGCTTGAGCATCCTCATGACATGACATAAATGCCCTTTGGGCGCAATCTAATTTTCTTTACAATGCCCTTTGTGAAAATCAAACAAATGACACGTTTTGAATAGTCTTATTCATTTATCTTACAGTTTTTCTGCATAAACCAAGCTTGAACGGTTTTTCTGCATAACTTGATGATTAAACGTTGGCGGAAACGAATCCTCGATTTTGAACCAGAAAGCAGCTGCAATCGGAATTATTTTAACCCGTGTAACTGATCTCTAAAACAAATACTGGAAAAGGTTCCAAACAAAAGCGCAACTTTGGAAGCTCAGCCAGGGCTACATGTCTATTTTATTAGTTGTCAGAACTTGAAAACAATTAATGGATCACTTTGTATTCGTTATTCCCAAAATCAATATCTATCCTCTCTCTCTCCGCTGATCCCAGTGGATGAATTTCATCCACACCGGAGGTGAGGACGAAGGCTTGTGCATTCCATATTTCCACCTCTTTAACGGTAAGCGATCCAAGAACTTACAAAAAACCACCGTCATCTAGTGGTGCCTTCAAAGTTCAATCTATTTGATGCATTTCATCATCTACCTTTGCATCAATCTAGAAATATATTTTTTGGCTGATTACAATCTAGAAAATGGGCGCTAATGGGTTCGGTGGCCTTATCAGATTGGGTCAATTGAACCCCTGTAAAACCGATTGATCAGCTACGGTTGGTTTAGGAGGAAATCATCCATGAGCCAAAATTCAACATCATCCGTAGACTGTAGGGAATCTCAAAAGCCTGCTCCGGAAGCATGGATGAGAGAGGGACCCTGTTGCCCGATTAATCACTTTGTAAAGTTTCTTGTCTAAAATTCTTACATTCAAATATAATGGCTCTCCCTAGGCTTGAAGAGACCTCATCACTTACGACAACGCCTGTGTCAGTCTGTACGATGCCACGTTGAGTTGTAATTCTTTCGTTCTTCTTGTTTGTATATATAAACCTTTTTGCGAAACTGGGAAGTAAATTATATAACACACTTCGCAAGTTCGCAGATTTGAACATTTGAGTGTACGTAGAATTATGTGCTCAGAAAAAAAAAAAAAGAATATAATAGCTGGAAGGAAGTCGTTTTTGGTACGTAGAATTATTTTCATCAGTGTTGGAGGGAGGAAGTCGTTTTTGGTTTCTCGTCTGTTTTCTGGCTAACTTGTGGAAGAGCATTTGATCATTTGGTTATCATTCATTGTTGCTCTGATTTAGTTTCAGTTTGAAGGAAGAAAACAATGAATAATGTCTTTTAAAAGGGTAATTTTGGAATTTCAGAATATTATAAATCACATGTGACATCATGTGACAGACTACTAATGGCGGATGCTAAATTGAAGTTCGGGTATGACACTACCCACCCAAAGGTCAGGGTACTACACTGAACTGTTCCCTAAAAAAACAAAAGCAAAAAGCATAATCTGGTCTCTTACACATGCACAAACACACGTACAGGCGCTACTCTATGCATATAAAATACAGTAAAATGACACAATATCTAAGTCCTTAATCAGCTTCTCCAATTATCTTTGCGACGCCTTACTTCCCGGAGGGCTTCAACCGGTGAGAGACAACCAACTTTTTCCTGTGGGTAAGAAAGCAAATGTTCCATTAGCATCAAATTAAGTTTGCGCAAGTTGAAAGAACCCATAAGCCAGTGGCAGGAACATCCGACTGGTGAATAAATATAAGAAAGTCAATTACTGGATGGTTGGAAGAGAAAGGAATAATGAAAAGAATTTGACCATTAAATTCACATGAGAGAGAGAGAGAGGTAGTGGTGGAGGAGGAGGACAAGAGTAATACCTGCAGTTGTGGTAGATCAACCCGCATGAATGGATTAATCTCCAACTCATCTTCAATGGTTGAGGGAATAGTAGGGAGGTTTCCCTGTCGTTGATGCTGTGCCCATGATAATTTCTGTGTTATTCTTGCATTATCTGGTTCAATCGTTAATGCAAACTGCAGATTTTTCACTGTATACTGCAGAAATAGAAAGTGACATGTTATATGGAGAAAAGTAGAACTATTCCAACTAAGGTTTTAAAAGGCTAAAACAAAACATTAAAAAAAAACAAATAATTGAAGTTTTCCTAAGTACACTAAAAGCAATACTATAATTAGATTAACTAGAAACTACTAATACTATATAGAATATTTGTTGAATTATTAAATACTCGCATTCCACAGAATTTCTTATATTTTATTTTCCTTTCCTGCTACATGTTTCAGAATAATCTGTTTTGCTGAAGAGGTCATTCATCATGGCTAGAGTTTCCAGTCCCATTTCTTTTGAAGAAGGTGATGTGTGATTTTTTATTTTTTATTTCTAGTCCTAACTTGTTTTTATCCCTCTTAATTTCTCTGTTGAGATCTGATTGATACATTTGGTTCATTATTTGACTTTCAATGCTTTTTCTTTTTGGATTATTGAACATTTTGAGAATTTTCCAAGTGTACAATGGGAGGAAGAACAGCCCAACTTAAAAGTTTTTTTTGGGTTCAAAGGGGAAAGGGGAAGAAATCTTTTTTTTTTTTTTTTGAAAAAAAGAGAAGAAATCTCACCATGCAATACAAACCAGAATGAGTTATTATCAACAGGGGAGCATTTTAAATTTGAGCCCAAGGTCTAATAGAAGGTTCCTCAAGTAAGAGCTCACAAAATGCATCTCATAGGCAGAGTCTCAGGAGAACCACTGGATGGTCCCAGTGCATGAGGCTCCCGCCGATGTGGGGTCTGGGGAGGGCCAGATGTATGAATCCTTACCCCTGTACATACAGAGAGGCTGTTTCCAACCATTGGGTGATCCGTCCTAAAGAATTCCAAATGCAAAAAAGCAGCAACATAAGATGATTCTCAACCATCTGATTGAGAATCACTACCCCCCTTGAGTTTTGATTCATTCTCCCACCTGTTACTGTTCCAACTGTACTAAGTTTATGGGTGGACTAAACTATAAAACCCCCCTTTCTTTTTTATTTTTTTGGGAGCCCCAATAGACTATACATTTCATTATCTAAATGCAAGTGCTGAAGAATAAATAATTGAAAAATTAGAACCGTGTTTACTTAATAGATCTCCAGAGGCAACAGTAGTACAACTAAATGGTGGACCTCAATCCTTCGAGTGCCAGCCATGTGCCTACATGCTTTAATCAAGGGGGAACCCCTACATGGATGGTTCCTTTATGCTCGTACTTCTTTCTATCACAATAAAACTTTTTGACCTCATTAATGATTAAAAAATATGATACTTTATTAAAAATAAGAAGTGGAGAACAAAAAAGTGTTTGATTTGTCAAAATTTTAAAGGATGACCCTTGAGTAAATAGATTGTTTTTACATCACGGTCAAAGTAAACTTGAGTTGGCTTTGGCAATGATCCCAATATAAACATAATAAATTGATGATTTATACATTTTCTAATGCTGTGCCTTCAAAAAATCGAAATAAGATTAGCTGAACGCTTTAGCAGTTCAGCAGGCTGTGGAACCAATAATAACACTCCACATCAGTCATAAAATACATGAGGCCACAATCATTCAACCTCTCAGTGTGGGGCCCATGCATTTTATCCATGGTGTGGAGCACTGTCATTGGTTCCACAGCCTGCTGAACAGCTAAAGCGTTCAGCTAATCTGAATTCCAAAAGATCACCCACAACCAGATCTTTTGTATCTGGATTCTGGACCATGAATTTTCTATCTTAATGAAAACACATGATAACTCAAGTGTTTGATAATGTCAAAGTTTTAAATGATAATCCCTGAATTAAAAAAAAAAAAATGATTTACCTCGTGGCCACAGTAAACTCGAGTTGGCTTTGGCAATGATCCCAATATCACACATAATGATTGATACATTTGCTCAGCTGTGCCTTCAAAAAATTTCCCACAACCAGCAACGAACTACAAATATAGATAAAAATCACCATAATTAAAATGGGAGTGCATGAAAATAAAAAATAAAACCAGTTCTCAACCGAGAACCAGATGCATGGAAGGTTCTTATTAACTATTGGGTTACGTTTAAAATAAAAATTCACCAAAATGGTGGCCGTCAAATGATGGTCCAAGTCCCTAGCATGTTCATCACATGTATGGCTAATACATTAAATTTCACTACAACCTAATTGTGAAAAGAAACAAAAAAGGTCTGCATTCTACTGACCAATGTATCTCCAGTAAAGACAGCTGGATCCTCTTCCTCTTTGCCCGTCAAGTAATAACTTATATGACCTTTAGTATGGCTGATGAAAGCATGCCATAAGAAATAAAAAATTCAGACCAATATTTCACAACAGAGAATCAACCTCACAAAAAAAACAAAAAAAAAAAAACAAAATGTACAAATTAGAATACATGGTGCATCCTATATTAACATGTTCTGCCTTATGGAGGTCTTTACTCAGTTCAGTAAGTTGGCTGTGGAAGGAGGTATGTGGGATGGCTTTGAGATCGCTCCAGGAGGGGAGAAGGTTCATCTTCTCCAATTTACAGATGATACTTTATGCTTTTTTGATTCCTTGGCTGAGCAGCTTGAATCTATGTTGGGCATTCTTTGCTGGTTCAAGGTTGTGACTGGGCTCAAAGTTAACCTTTGTAAGAGTGTGATCTTTCCCATTGGCCATGTGGAGAATTTGGAGTTAGATGAGATATTGGCCTGTCAGGTAAATCATCTCCCAGGAAAACCTTTTTCCTCTGGGGGCTAAATGCACCTCCTCTTCTGTCTGAGATCCTGTGATTGAGAGAATGGAGAAGTTGGCTTCCTGGAAGGCCAAATACCTATCTGCAGGGGATAGAGTGACCCTTTTAAAGAGTACCCTCTCCAACCCCCCAGTCTATTTTCTCTCACTCTTTCCCATCCCCTCCAAGGTTTCTAAAAAGTTAGAATCCCTCCAAAGGAACTTCTTGTGGAGGGGGTGGGAAGATGAGAAGAGAATTCATTGGGATCAGGTCTGTTTGCCTGTTAAAGAAGGTGGGCTGGGAGTGAGAAAACTAAAGATTTTTTATTCTGCCCTCTTAAGTAAGTGGATTTGGAGGTTTGGTTCTGAAAGGGATGCATGGTGGAGGTCTCTGATTGCTGCTAAATATGGTGTGGATTGGGGTAACTGGAGATCTTTGGACCCTCTTCAGATGTGGGGTTGTTCCTTGTGGAAAGGTATCATGAGAAACTTCCCCTCTTTTTCAGAAGGTTTGGAATATAAGGTGGGAGATGGAAAGAGGCTGAAACTCTGGAAGGATCCCTGGTGCTTAGACTCCCCCTTGGCTGAGGTCTTCCCTAATCTCTGTCATTGTGCTTCCTCCCCTGATGCATCAGTATTTGACTCTTTTGAGTGGGAGGAGGGGTATGCTGTTTGGTGTCCCCTCTTTAGAAGGAACCTCCATGACTGGGAGTTGGAGCAGCTGCTAAAGCTATTACAGCTATTGCAGAATCAGCATGTTTCTGTTGAGGTGGATGACAAATGGAAGTGGAAATGGAGTGGTGATGGGGTTTTCTCAGTTAAATCTATGGCAGAGAAGCTAAGTCAAGGTGCTAATGTGGGTTTCCCTAGCAAGCAGATCTGGGTCTCTACCAGTCCTTCTAAGGCAAGTTTTCTGGTTTGGGTTCTGGCTCTAGATAAATGTTTGTCTAGATCTAATCTGAGTAGGCGTGGGATTCAGACCCGACTTGAACTGTGGTATTTGTGGATTGGTTCTTGAAACTGGTGATCACCTTTGCATTCATTGCCCTCTGTCTGCTAAACTATGGGAGCATTTCATAAATCAGCAGGCATCAGCTGGGTTATGCCTCAATCTGTAAAGGAGGTTCTGTGCAGTTGGAAGCTTCCTGGTCTGAGCAAGAAAGGGAAGCTGGTCTGGAAAACAATCCCCGCAGCTGTCCTGGTCACTGTCTGGTCTGAAAGGAACAGTCATGTCTTCTGTAACAAAGCTAGAGCTCCTGAAGATCTGCTTAAGACGGCTGTCAATAGACTTGCTTCTTGGTTATCTGTAATTTCAGAATTTAAAAATCAGAATGTCTTTCAGCTCCTTGAATCCCACTCCATTTGGGCTTTGTAATGTGGTAGTTCTCCTGGTGTTTTCTCACTAGGTTGCTGTTGTATTGTAGCTTCTCTCATCAATAAAATTCTTACTTTACCTTCTCAAAAAAAAAAAAAGAGATCATAAGTTAAAGATTTAGTTACTCCTAGTGCAACTTGGGCTAGGTTAGCCTGAACCCAACCCTGGAGAAGTCATGTTGGGTTAGAGTTGGGATTAAAAAATATGAACCTAAACACCAACAATTAGAATTTTTGGTGTGAAATAAGGATGTGTTATGTGACATTCTCTTGAACAGAGAAAGGACACGATCCTTCGAGCTGTAGTGCCGGAGCACTGCTCAAAGAGGTTTGAAACCTACTCAAAAGAAGGCTTTGAAATGAGGAAGACGATAGAATATCCAATGATCTATTATCAGAAAGAAATTAAATAGATATAGGGCCATTCTTGTTCTTGGCGGTTGTAACAATAAAAAATTAATTATAATAATCATCCTTATAGAAAGATTGGCAATGATTTCCACGTTGTCACTGGAATGGATATCATCCATGGGTTGCGAACTTGGATGCTCATGGGCTGGGTCGAAAGAAGAGTGGGCTGTTGTAACAGGCCCAATAAGCCCCAAGGCTCATAACACTCCCCCATCCTTGAAAATGGCCTCGTCCTCGAGGTCCACTTGAGGAACTTGCAGATTAACACATTCCCCCTCTTCCAAGTAGCATCGACTTCTGAGATGCCCAAATATATTGTGTGGAAGAAGTTGTGAAGCCATAGCAGAGTCATTCCCATCTAGGACTTTTCCAATGGTCATCATTCTTGTCTTCACTGTAACTAATGGAGTGTGATGTTACTAGCAATCATGGAATTGTTAGCAGACCCAACCAGGCAATATGTGCGGGTAGTGTGGTATAGAATGTTGTCGTGCTTCACCTCTTGAAAGAGACGCTCCCCATCAACAGTTTCTCTACTTGCATCCCCTAATGCAAACGCCAAAGCAACAGTGATGGAACATACCAGCAATTTGCCATCTAGCCCACCTACAACTGTAGCTACCGTCACAACCAAACAAGGGTTGTTGGTTGACACTATTTTTAATTCATGAAGCATGGCAATTCCTGAACCAATTGAAACCCACACAAGTTCAAGAGGACAGGCAAGGATTAGGTTCCTCGGTTGACTTCCAACATCAATGAATTCTGCATCCCTATGTTGACCGCTAAGAGGAGGAATTCTTCTTATCTTGCTATCAAATCCTGATGAAATAATTTCTTCTACAACAGCACCACAACGATTGATTTGAGCATTGCTTTTCTTCACCAATATACCACTGTGTTCAATGCCCTGAATCCATCCAATTATATTACCACATTGTTGCTAATCAAGATAACCTTTTGAATGCCTTTGAGATTAGCTGATGGCGACACACTCTTCAAGTGCCCTGTGAAAGGAATGGGGTCGCTATTTGGAACATTGATGAGTGTAAACTAATAGCTTTACCATGAGAAACAGTGGCAAAATGGTCATTCAGCCAAAGGCATCTAATCATCATATCATCTACTCCCCATGTGCCAAAACATGGCAACATTTTCTCCACCGTTCCAAGCTTACCTTGGTCATCCTCCAAATCCTTGCATACACAATTAGAACTTCTTTGCAATCAAAATTTCGATCAACAGTATTAATGCTTTCTTTGTGACCATCTTCAGAGTATAACTCTTCTGTCTTTTTCTTGGTATTCTCATCATATATTGTAACTTTTTTATTTAAACTCACACTGATGAACTTGCTACTAGCACGCATGGCAATACAACTTGACATTTGTCTTGAATTGCTGTTCAAGTCCACAATAATGCCTAAATTTTTTATATAAACATGAATTAGGGGTTTTTCCTTCCTGTCACCATAAGCGGTTGTCCTCAGATCCTTAGGAGATCATGGAGGTCATTGATCTGATCAACAAGGACCTTAAATTCATTCTGAAGGATGTAATCATCCTATGTACCCATGTTGGCTCTTGGAATGCTGCCACCTGGTTTTATCTTCAACGAGAATCCTGACACCTCATCTGTCTGAGCTAGATAATGGGTCCCACAAAGACTCAAATTCCATGTTGTCAAGCTCCCAGCAAGCATTTCACCTAATAGCCACAAATCAACCATTGTCAACAACTGGTGGGGTAGTATTTATCAACTCCTGCACATCATATTTACCTTTGACAGCTTCTCTGGAAGCAAAACAACAGGTTTGGTTGTGGCTATCTCCAAATTTTCATGGGCAGAACGTGATCTTGACAGGAACCACCTACATTGCGTTTGAGCCCTAGCTTCTTGTCTCCCTTAGGATTAGAGTCTTCAACAAGAGTTTGCTCTCTTGCTGAACCTCCCATTTTTTGCAGCAGAGTGATATCAAACGGAGCCTTGACAGAGATAACTTGAGCAGCATCCTGTTGAATGGCATAGGTGTATTTTTTGCAATATCTCATTGCCGTAAGCTTGTGGATTGGAATCTCATTTGACAGAGGTTCTGTATCAAGAAGAACAACATCAGCAATAGCTTCTCTGTCTTCCTGAACTTCAACCTTTACATCATTGACTGGTTTGGGTGGCTTATTGGCCAAAATGGTTACCGAAATATCAAATGATTGCTTGAATGCCCCAACTATAGAAGCCATGCATGACTGGGACCTAGCTGATGCAATGGATTTTTGTATGAAAACATAGAGGAAACAACTAAGGGTTTCCATTACCTGTAGAGCCGAGTTGCCCAAAACATTAGTGGGTCTATGGATGCAAACCAAAGCAGATGGAAAAATGGGAAGGGCTCATGGTTTGAGTTTAAGTGCTGGACTGGGGATGGGATAAATTGGCTTGGGATAACATTGGGGTTTCAGGGAGAAGAGGCAAAGAGAATACGGTTAAAGATGGGACCTGGTCTGGCATTAGGGCTTGATGGAGAGTGATATTTGAGCCCCAACTTAGGATCAGGGTTTGGTGTGCCTTGTTACAATGGCAACATCAGAAGTACTAGCAATTTCACAGAAGACAAGCTTGGAGACTAGGGAATGAAAAAGGTTAGTAGAGCTTCGGTGGTATGATGATTTCCTGGCGTCAGAGAGGGAGGTGGGTTTCCCACCACCGGTTGTCCTTTTGTCACCTCACTGTTGAAGCCAAACAATGGCTTGGGTTATGGTTGTCGTTACCGTTGAGTCCAT